CATGTCACTGACATTGACGCGATCGATGCATGCAAGGTCAGCCGAAAACAGGATCATCTGAGGTCATCTGCCTGACCAGAAATTCACTAGATTCATCTTCATATCAGTCCTTCTGTCCTGGCACAGTTGTTCTGGTGAGCTCAGACCAAAACTAAAACTAGTTTCTGGAGCAGATGAAATTCCCCACGGACAAGTTGATCGTGACTACCTCATTAGATCAGCTGACTTCTCCCAATCATGAAATTCAAAATTTGATGGTTTTCCGACGTCGAACGCAAGCAAAGGTAAGCTCATTGGTTATCTGAGCATTCTCACTAATTTACTGTTTATTCAAGTATTCACAAGCACAACAGTGGTTCCAAACAACAGAGAATGAATACAGCACCATTTCAGATTGTTTGTGAACACCAAGTGGAAGGTTAGAGAAGTGAATTTAAATTTTCTCGTCACGAACACTGCACTGACGACTACCCACGCTATCCGAGCGGTTGTTCGCCCACAAGTGGCTGATAGACCAGACACCTGCATAAACTTTTGTTCAGTAACGTGCTTATGGCAGCAATTACGTACATGTGTGAACTATCAGATGGATGATATTCGGTCACCTGTAGCCTCGACTGCAAATCTGAAACGCTACTCAGCAATAGATCCACCGAATTTCGCAATTCCTTTGTGTAGACAGGTCAGACCACTTGCAAATTCGATTTCTAAAGTGCGACGCGTTTCTGACAACACCAGCTCGACTGCACAAGTGTTCACCACTTTTACTCAACTCAAATAAACGTCCCCTAATGTAATTTTACTAGTATTTGAGAATGGCGTAGCCGACTGTACCTTTTCTTGATTAAAGGCGTTACCAGAACATGCTTATTGTGGTTACCTCCTGTCCTGAGGAAACAAACGATCATGTTCTCGTATAATTTTGATTGGTTGGTTTCATTTGTTCACCTGGCGAGGATTTTACCCAAGTCGAACATGATTATGCTATCAGTGAAACTAAGACTCATGTTGACCTGCTTGTATTTTGCAAGGACGAAAGCGTCGATTGATTCTCATTCAGCTGAAGTTGTTCTTTTGGACTCTTAGCATAAAAGTTCATTTAGTATTCGTACCAGAGTATCGTTCACTACCACGACGGAATCCATATGGTTTGTATTCCTGACCACCACTTGTTAACATTTTAAACCGGATTAGAATTCGAAAGTTAGAAATTTGATATTTTTTCGCGAAATACACTCATTTGCAAACTAATTTGTTTTTTTTTGCGAGAGACTCGCCTGGAACCCAGAACACAAGGTTGACGGAAACTCGGGGACTGCACTTACCTGATGAGCCCCAAGAAGGGCAAAACCGGTCGTAGGCTGTCAACGAATTTTCAGCAACCTTATTAGTAGGGCATTACAAATATGTCAGCTCCAGTTACTGGGAATTGGGAAAATTCCTTGAACGCAGAAGTTGACATTAGTGAGACATTGGTCGATATGTGGGGCCCTGTTTGGCGCGGGGTTTGAGCGATTCGCAACCGTAAGCAGTTGTATCGTGTTTACCAACTTGTGTTTACAAATTGTAGAAAAACACCGATATTTCCCGGAAAACGATTACTGGGAAACCATGTCCCACTGCATCAACAAAACGTTTGTTGTACTGGTTGCCACCAATCTTTGCAGGATTGTCTTATTGCAATTTACTCGCTGGGCTTGGCAATTTGACTGTGCCAGCTACTGATGCACCATGCCACTCTCCAGAAACATACTACCGGTATCACCTGGAGTGGTAATGAAACGTCTGCAATCGAATTGTTCAACTCACCCAGCAAACCAAAGATCACATACTCCACATTAGATATCAACATACTCCTCAATAGTAAGTGATCATTTCTTAACAGGTTGGGTTCTGAACAAGAAATAAAGTGTATATTCGTAACGTACTACTCACAAGGTTGATGAAAACTCTAACAAGAATATTACTCAGAATTAATTCCTTTTTTTTGATACGCTCGCGGGCTTCTTTTAGATTAACACACCAGCGTTTAGTCAAACACAGGTTTTTTCTGCCTCTTGAGGTCGGTTTTTGAGAATACTGTTCCACAGCCTCGTAGTGGAGGATTGAAACTGTTTCAAACTACCAATGTATTTGCGTCAAAGCAACTGAAACTTGGTGAGATGATGGAGAAAGTGTTGACTAATTACTAACACGCTATGATGTACCATATACAAACCTTCTTTGAACGGTGCTTCATTATGGCAGTGAAAACGTATCCACCCTCTGCATTCGCAATCTTGAGAAATGGGCGGCATTCAAGATTACACAAGATTCGGGTCACATCGCAGCTCTTTCTAGTCATGTATATAGCTGGGGGATCCATGGCGCTCCTTTTTGAGAAAATCTAAGGGGTCGAAGGAGATCTGTCCTACCTGAGTTGCTCAACTAGAAACAGAGCTGGCGTGATCAGTCCTTTAAACGTCCAGACTCAGCTTAGCCACTACTGTTTCTAGAATGCCAGAAGCATATATTTTTCGACCTGTGGCCCACATTCGAGTACACTGTCCACTGGCAGAATGGGCCGGATCCAACACAGACCAACGCTACCGATAACCGTGATCTTCCTCGATGTCAGAAGCCCATTTCGTACCGTTGACTGAGCTGTCTTCCGATGAGAAATTGATGCCAGAAATGTTTGTTTGTAATTGAAGTGTGATGTGCACCTAGGCTTCCGTAGAGCTGCAAGCCAGCAGGAAGTTATCTTCAGGCCTATACATCATAGGGAGATTTAGAGAGAGGCGTCCATCTCCCTAGGTTTGTCCATTTTTGATGTAGTCTCAAAGATATAGTCATTCAGTGCCTATCTGCCATGCCACACGAAGGAGGCACGAGGGCTGGGATACTGCCAGGTTGCCCAAGCCTAGACAGGAGAAGTCGAGAGGCCGAGATCGGGTTCGAACCACGGACCTTCCGGTCAGTAAATTCACGCTCTGACCACTGAGCTATCTTAACTGGCCCAATTAAGATCAATGAATCTTGACATGGTAAGCTGATTGTATGTACGGTATGCACTCTCCGACAGAGGACGGCCCTGAGGCCTCTACCTACTTGGTCCATCTCGCCCCTCAATGATATAAAAAAACTCGTTCAGCTGTAGCACCCTTTCGGTGCCTAGCTGCCACACCACACGAGGGCTAGGATACTGCCAGGTCGCCCAAGCCTAGACAGGGGAAGTCGAGTGGCAGAGGTCGGGTTCGAACCGTGGACTTTCCTGTCAGTAAATTCGCGCTCTAACCACTTGAACCATCTCGCCTCAATGATATAAATAACACTGAAACAAACAGTGGAGTGGAATCACTCAGAGGTGAACAGCTCCTAAGCCCTTGGTCTAGGTTGGTGCTTTGAACTGGAGTTCTGTCCAAGCAACCTAAATGCAAAAACTTCTAGGTGGCAATCTCTTGAACTTTTCTCGGTTTCGATGTTTACCATAAAGATATGAATGCTGGGCCACCCATGTTGGCGGGCCGTCCAAAGAATGTCTAATTCCGGCAACCAGTGCGTACGAAGCATTGTCTGAATCCGGTGGGAACGCCATGGAAGCTGCAACGAATTTCGCTATTTTGTATTTATGATGTGATTGCGTTCTCTTAGTTTTGTTTTTAGAGGAAGCAACAGCACTGTTTTGGCCATATTTTGTGTTGAGAACGACTACGAGGCAGTATCCTGACATTCTCTGGGTCAACCTGGAAACCAACACCGCTTGATCGGTTCCAATTCTTACGAAAACACATGTAGATCAACACTAATCCACTTGGTTCTTTTGGGCTGGTACACTTCAAGGATGGGTACACTCATTCAACAGATTTCGTTGGAGATAGTCTCTGAAATGACAACATCTTAGCCAGAATATCGATCGGAGGCCATACTGATCGATCATTATCGACCGAGTTTATGCGTCCGAAATAATCTTATGTGCGTCGTTAGCTTGAGTTGGCTAAAGCAAAATGGACCTGATCGATTTATTTAGTGACCGGCTCCGTGCACCATTCTGTACCTTTTTATATTAAAAAATGATACTTTTCAGTAACCCCCTGACGAGATGGGGACGAAATAGTAAAGCTCGGCAAATATCTTCTCGTTTACATTTTTTCACAACCCATGTTTAGCGAAAGCTCGATAACTCGGTGGTTAAGGTGCGAACTTACTGATCCGAAGGTTCGTTGTTCGAACCCAACTCCGCCATCTCGACTGTTGCTGCCTAAGCTGAGGTAACCTGGCAGTAACTTGGCCCTCGTGCTTCCCTGGCCTGACATGGCAGATATGCACCGAAAGGATGCTGCAGTTGAACGATTGTTACAGAAAGGACCCTTTCCGGTCAGATTACTCGATGTTGCCAGGGTTATTCTTGGCGCTACCCACCATCCCGCTGGCCGCGACTAAAATAATACGGCCTTGAGCATTTCTGACATTTTTCCTTGTCGATTAAACTTTCTCTTTTCCACTGAGATCTTCTAATGAAGGTTATCTGGTTCCTTGGTCATTCGAAAGGTGTGATACAAATCTACTCGAAGTATTGGGTCAAATGTTTCTTTTACGTGTCCCGTCCCCGTGCTTCAAGCAATCCACTTTCTCTGACCCACACTTGAACTCAAGTGGATCGTTGCAACACGTTCACGCCCACTTCTCTTTCTTACTTATTGGCGACTCGATTACACAGATTTTGGTGGCACTCGGGTGGATGTGGGAAAAGCCCTATGCATTATAATCCTGTTTGCTGTTGTTTTGTTGTGCGGCTCAGGAAACACAAAAACGCTCCTCACCCAATTACACGCCGTTCCCAGAGGATCGTTCAAAGCACTGAGGGTGGGAGAACCTTTTCACCTTGTTTACAAAAGCAGTCACACCTGAAGTGGTTGTAAAGTGAGAAGGTCAAGGCAAACATCGTTGAGCACTGTGCGATATAATGAATGAACACTTCAAAGTTTTTTCCCCAACCATTGCTCCACTTGTCTGTAGTTTGTGCTTAATCTACACGTAGCCTGTCCTTGTTCAAGTTTTCGAATAGACAGGAGTGGATGGACCAAGTGGACGTTGTCCATGCGTTGATGTACAGCTCTCTGTCTCTTGGGTTCCATGTCGAACCAGGGTAGTATTGCGCCAGTCTCAATAATTGACAACTTCATAAGTTGCCGGGGTCGAATTGCTCTGTTGCAACTCCGGAAGCTGTAAACTCAGTCGGATAACACAGTTTTCTCGTGATAACATTTCCATCGCCCCTCGACAAGCGATAGAGGGGTGCGTGGGGGTGTGTACGTTCAAGTAAGCCAAAGCGTCCACAGCCCGCTCCGACCAACCAAACCTGTTTTCACATCCGGTTTTTTTGCATGTTGCCAGTGTTCGTGTGGATCTGTTAGACTGACAGCTTCGCATTGCATGCACGCCCGCAGACACCAATTTGTCAATTGTTTGTGCGTCCAAACAAGCTCTCACAACCGACAAAGGGGGCGGATCAGACAAGTGTCTGTTTTGGCCCTAGCAGTGTACTCAAACACACGCACATCCAGCTTGATGCACCCAAAGGGGTATGAGTTACGAAATCTCGTGCCAGTGGGAAAGTTGCACACACATTTGCTAATCTTGTGTCACCGAACCAGTCAGACTGGTTTACAGCTTTGATGGGCAGGTCCGTTTAGGTTTTTGTCTCATGACAGGAAATGAAATTGTTTCGAACACGTTGTACAAGTTTGGATGTTTTTATCGACATACACGTGGATGGTTGCTGTGTGCTTGTTTGTGCAGTCGAATAGGTCTTGGATGTAAAACACGAGGAAAGACTCAGGTTGCAATCGAAACAAGCTGTACTACTTCTTCACCGTGAATTGACTACTCGCAATACATTGAGGCGATTCTATACAAGCAGTTCACCGAGGATAGTAAAGAAGGGTTGTATATCAAGGTTGATGAACAAAGTAAATTCCGTCTGATCTTTGACGTTGCTAGAGGAAAATTTCTCATTTGTGAAACGACTATGTTAATTCAACTCTTCGTTATTGATTAATCATACACCACTCATCTTGGCGTACAGGGGACGATAATATGCGTTAACCGAATTGTCTGGCAGATATATGGATACTTTCGGTAACCCTAAACGGAACTCTGGAAGCGTTCAGAGAGACAGATCAATGGGATGACTGAAATTTTTAGTGTATTCGCGTTCTGTTATCACTGTGTGGTGCAAAACTGTGATGCCTGACCGGTGAAGTAATCCTCTTCGTTGAAAACCCGGATTTGCGCTGAATAGGAAGGTTACCCTGCGCCCGTAATTGGAATGTCTCCATCTGATACGTTCTTTTGGAAGGGAGGTCATGTTAGTCTGTCAAATGCTTCGCGCGACAACCTCTATGGAATTGGCCACAGCTTTCAAGAATTCATCGCCAACTTCAGGATTTCTACCTGTAGATTGGTTTCCCGCATTGTCACAGGTAAACTCTTTGATGCAATTCAGTACTAGTCGTTTGTGTGCGCACCTAGGTGTGAGATAACTAACATGACGACCATGGTCGCCTCTGCATTGTTGGTGGTAGACGGGCCTCTACGTCCCACACGTATGTCTCACGCACAGAGCTCGAAATAGCTCAGTGATTAAGGCGCGAACTTGCTGACCAGAACACAACCTCTGCACCTCTACTGCTCCTGTCTGGGCTTGAGCAGCCTGAAAGTATCCCAGGCCTCGTGATTCCTTTGGGTAGTATGGCGGCCCGGCACCAAAAGGGTGTTACAGCGGAAAAATATGACTGCAAGCAACACCCGAATGGTTTCGGTCTTTTAAGTAGTATGACTTGAGACATNATGCCTGGCAAACTTTCTTGCCAATTTTCTGCTGAGCTAATCACGCACGACGCCACTGACCTCTTCACCTGACATGCACTACTTAAACAGTGGAAACAAAAAATCATCTTACATCATGAATCACACACACCTTTATACTCTTGTGGCTTCAAAAAGGGATTCACTCTAAAAAAAGAAGTCGTTTGCTTTGCAGAATTCTTGGTCAGACACGACTCATCTTGATAACCCACCCATTGGAGAGGCAATCTTTCTTTCAACTATCGTAACTCGTCCTGGAGGACATGTTGTACATAAAAATAAGAACCGGTGCTGACTGGGAGGGTTGGAGAACAGATGCGTGTCAGTCGAAAAATTTTTAGGCTGCCAGTCACTCAGGATGAGTGAGAATATATCTCTTTCCAAGTGCGAGTCAATCATTCAGCTGCACCGATGGCCGAACTACTAGTTGGGAGGTCATGGGTTCGAAACTCCCTAGAGATTCATTCGCATTGCTGACGATTCCCAATATGGTTGAAACACCTGGACAGTGCTTTTGGGCTTCTTATACCAGACTAGCGACTTCATTTACATAAAGAAACCAAAATCGGCCCACACTAGCTACATTTCGGAAACGACTGAGGTCCTTAATCCCGAAATTCAAGTTGACTTTAGCACTGTTGGTTGCACTGAGGATTTTGTCTTCCAAATACCATAACGAACACCAGTCAACATTTTTCAGACTAGCGTTCCCATACTCCTCTGGATAACGAAGTTGGTAAGCTGTTTTTCGTTTCATGTTGACAGTATGCCGCAAATATGGATCCCTGTTGTTGGACAGTACATATCTTATTAGGAAGGTGAGACCGCAAAAGTCATATCAAGGCCCAGCTTGGAAACACAACCTGCGGTAGGTCTACCCAGCAGTCCAACGTTAATTAAGAGGATGTCGCAGCAGATATCAAACCACTTGGCTGTCAAGTATGTCGATTTCAACAACAGCAGTGGATGAGTTCAAACTATGTCGT